AGAGTAGAAAAACACAGGTTTCTGCGGAAGGGAGTGAGTAAGAGGAAAGGCAGGGCCATGGAAAAAACATTTAGAGAGATGCATTTTGGCAAGATGGAGGACTGAGTTGGCTGCCTTGCACACAGATATTTAGGCACATATAGTCAGTGATTATGTTGGCACATAGGTTGGGTGGCACCAAAGAGTTATTGTGAAATGTGCACACTGTTGCAGCAGGATGTTCAAAATAATTTTCTGTCTCCTCCTAAAAGAGTGTTTAGAAGCACCAAACCCACCACCACTGCTATAAAACTGCATAAAGTATTCATTAAATAATGTTAAAAACTGTTTTTAGAAGAACGAAGGATGTTTCTGAGTTGGTCCCTCTGTTGCGAGCACAGCCTGTAGACTGAATCTCGAATGTTCTTTTCCCGTCTTCTTTGCTTCAATCGCCCAGATGTTGTTGTTTTTTTGCTTTTGACAAATTCAGTCTTATTATTCCCATAACAATTTCCCACACTTTTCAGTCATTTCCCTTCTTTTGTATCAAGGAGGAACGGAGTCACACAAAAAAAACACCCCACTTATTTTCCAGGACAAGTGAATGAGAACTTCAGAACATCCTCCAATCACAGGAAGAGAGCCACAGCAGGAACCGAATTCCCCTTTCTGAACGACAGTTATTTTTTTCAGACTCTCAGCACCAGTTCGAAAAAAAACGTTAACCACTTAAAAAAAAAAAAGCAAGGCTTTGGCCAAGCAAGGCGAATTTCCTAAGGGCAACTCACATGGAGCAACTTTTCCCTGTTTATCAGAATGAAGACACAGAATCAGCTGCCCGGGTAGAATTAGTCAATGCGGATTCAGAATCTTTCCCCCCCACACGAGGCAAGACAGACATCTGGTTGTCAAAAGCTGGTACAAGAAGGGGCATCTGCTGCTGATCCTAGGCACATGGGTGAAGAAAGGATGAATGGTTACTGGATGGGGAGAAGGAAAAATTGCCCATGTGGGGGGCGGGGGAATGACATCTTTGCAAGAGGCTGTAGTCGGAAATAGGTTTGGGCCATTCTCTTGATCGGTTGGGGGTGCGGGAGGAAACCCCATCATTATTCGACATGCAGGATTGATCAGGAAATCTTCTTAGGCAAGAGGAATGCTCCCCTCTGAGCACGTAAAGGTTCACAATATACCTGAGCCGGGCAAGTGGTGACTGCTTTGCGGTAGAAGAATTTGGGAGTTGCAGGAAGTAAAGGCCCAACTCTGGAACAGCAACACAGCCTTTGCAAATTTGCCACAGCCTTTCCATCTCTGCAGAAGAGGCATGGGAGCCTGCAGGGAACAGCCAGGCCTGGAGAGGAACCAATAATACAGCACATGGGCTTACCGGCGAGTACCTGGATAGCTCTAAACAGTGAAACATCCTTTCAGTGCAGCCGTTCAGTCAAAGAAAAACACAAAACTACAGAGCAGTTTCAGAAATTAGGGACATACCTGGGTCAATTCCAGTTTGCAACTGAAGAACGACGGTAGATAGTATTAAGTTATGTCCTTTCCCAAACTAATTATGGTTTAACTCACGCCTACTGGCAAATCATAGAGACAAATTTCTAGAGAGCCTCTCCCAACCTCGTTTTTTCCAGAAATGGCTATTCCCAAGAATTCTGGGCATCGTATTTCCACATAGTTGGAGGACACCAGTTTGGGGATTGTGGTGGAATGTAGTCTGGATTCCCAGAAGGGAGGGGCTGCATTCCAAAAGGGCAGCAAAGTTTAGTTTGGTTGGGAGAAAGAGAGTGAAGAAGGCTCCTCCCTAACACTTCTCAGAGTATACATATTCTGCACTGCAAATAGTTGCTTTAGTTTGGCAAGATTCTGTCTATCGGTGACAAACAATGAAGGAAACTACTTGGAAGTAATTCTACATATCTTTCTTGGTTCAGGGAACTTGACAGGGATGCAGTTCTAGGGGCTAAAAAGATAATTCTGGGAGATGAAGGAAAAACATCATACATGAGCCCAAAAGGTAAAGGTTTCCCCTATCCCAGGGGTAGGCAACCTCGGCTCTTTTATGACTCGTGGACTTCAACTCCCAGAATTCCTGAGCCAGCCATGCTGAGGAGAAAGGGAGAGGTTTCCAAGCTGAGCCATGCTGGCTCAGGAATTCTGGGAGTTGAAGTCCACGAGTCATAAAAGAGCCAAGGTTGCCTACCCCTGGCCTATCCAGTTGTGTTTGACTCTATAAGGCATTGCTCATCTCCATTTCTTAGCCAAAGGAGCCAGTGTTGTCCGAGGACATTTCTATGGTCCTGTGGCCAGCATGACTATACGCCGAGGCACACAGAACACTGTTACCTTCTCACCGAAGTTGTACCTATTTATCTACTCACATTTGCATGTTTTCAAACTGCTAGATGGACAGGATCTGGGGCAAGTATGGGAGCTCACATGGTGCTTGAGTCTCGAATCCAGGCTGGCAGCTTTCCAGCTGACAAGCTAAGTGTCTTTAACCACTGAGCCATCTGCCCCCTTCACATGGGCCAAAGGGGCTCCCAAAAGACTAGCCATGCCAGAATTACATATTAATTACAAACCACAGGTTCTTCTTAAGGGGCAGGAGCTCTTCCAACAGCAGTTTTAAAATATCTTGAGCCTAATAAATGTTATGTGAACTCTAGAAAAAGGGAGCAATTTCTGATGAACACCCCAGTGAGATAACTGTGAGAGGAGGTGGGGGGGAGAGGCCTTTTCTGCTTCAGACAGCTGAAATTCAACTGCAGTATTTCTATCACTGTATCTCAGAGGTGGTGCTGCATAAGGGCTTGAGAATACAAACCAGGAAGGGTCTGATCTCAGTCACGACATTCATAGAGGTAGCAGATTTCTATAAAGAATGGATAGTTCTTGCCAACAACGAAAGCTGCCATTTTAGCTCGGGGATTTCCCACAAAGAATCAGTGGCTGCTAGATATTTAGTTTAGAGGATCCATTTACACATTATTGGGATAACAAATGAATCCTACAACAAAATACAAGTAACTGGACAGCCATTTTTCTGAAATGGTATAGGGTTTCCTGCCTGAGCAGAGGGTTGGACTAGATGATCTCCAAGATCCCTTCCAACTTTTTATTATTATTACTATTATTACTATTATTACTATTTATTTATTTATTTATTATTTAAAATTATATACCGCCCTATCTCCCTTACAGGACTCAGGGCGGTGAACAGGCAATAATAAAAATCACAATAAATATTAAATAAAAAGCCTGCTCTAAAATACCCCATATAAAACCCCTACCAAAACACAATCAGAACTACACCAGGCCGGCCGCATGGAATAGATGGGTTTTCAAGGCTCGGCGAAAGAGGCGCAGGTCCGTAGTTGTACGTAGGTCGGGGGATAGGTCATTCCAGAGGGCAGGAGCTGCCACAGAGAAGGCTCTCTACTATTATTATTATTATTATTATTATTATTATTATTATTATTATTATTATTATTATTACCCTCACTTACCGACCACCCATTCAGCGTTAAGTTAAGACAGTGCTGAAAAAAGAGACTTATGACCGGTCCTCAAACTTGTGACCGTTGCAGTGTTTCCCCCTGTCATGTGATTGTGACTCAGGTGTTTGGCAACCACAGCAACACATGTATACGATGTTTACAGATTTCCAGAGTCACGTGATGGCTATTTGCGACTTTCACCACCAGCTTCTGACAAACAAAGTCAATGGGGAAACTGGCAGGAAGTCACATGTCACATATGACATTGCATTTAACAACCGCAGGGGATTTGTTTAACAACCACAAACAAAACTGACATCCTAAATCTACATGGCCACATGACTCTTCACTTTACAATCCAGCTGCCTACAAAGTTTGCCAGTCCTTGTTGAGGTCTGTATATGAGTAACACCTCTAATTTACTCTCAGATCTTCTCCTTCCCTTCTTTCCTCAGTAACATTTAAGCCAATATTTGGGGGCTCTTGAGCATGCTTAGTTCTTCTTGGGTTTTTTTGGTTTTCTTTGAAGTTCTTGCCTCCAACAACATTTTGGTATTTGGAAATTTTCCCCTCTCAATATCTTTTAAGCAGAGCCCTTTCAAAAGTCCCTGCTGAATTAAAAGTTTTATGAGATACCAATGTGCCACTGTTAAATGTGTGGGAACAATAAGCCTGCACAGAACTTTGAATTTAATTCTGAAAGGTGCCTCTGAGGGCAATAAAACATTCTTGTTCTAAAGAATTGCAGACAGCTGTTATATTTAGGTACCTACATATTTTAAAGCAGCTTTTTGAATGAAATCTAAAGCACCACACTGATGAAGTTCGATTTTTGTTTTGCGTTATGGAGCATGTCCACCAACATATCACTTAAAAGCCAAATATGGCTCTCATCATACCAACACTCTCCTGCTTTTCAATTCATGTCCTTGGATGAATACACAAAGTGGAACATCGTTGGTTCCAGAGAGGCAAAGAGTGTGATCATTCTATAGAGACATTTCCCTTTATATTTTTATAACAATTTTATAATAGATTTCAAAAAACAAAAACTCTGTTTCAATGTTAGAAGCAATGTGCTCTAATGTGTGAGAAGTTCTAGATAATAAAGGGGATTTTTAAAAGAATGGATTTGGGGGGAAATGTGATGGAAATTGAGGATTTCACTTGCTTTTTGCAATTTGGTTGAAGGGAGTCTGAAAATAAAGCTTTCAGTCGACCATTAAAAGGTTAAAATTATTCTATAAGCTTAATACGGTCGTTTCTGGAAGTATAAAAAAAAGCTCTAGTCCTCAAAGAGCACAAATGTAAATGTGTCGATGCTTTTAGAAAGGGCTCCCTTGTCCATTTTTTGAGTCTAATCTGTTTTAAATATGTTTAATGTCAACGCTGCTAACATTGGATGTTCTTGCTTTGACAACATGTGGAGAAGCAGCTTTGCTTCTTTAACTTGTGTGTTACTTTTAGAGTTAGAATTAGTTGATGCTGGAGGGGGAGGAGGAAGAATGTCTCTCAAGACTGTTTTGAAATAAGAGAAGATAAGAATTTGGCAGGTTGTTGACCGGAAGGGAAACTTTGCCCTTCAAACTGATTGGAGAACATGATTTATGATGGCTAATTGGAGGAGGGAGTTGTGTTTGAATATTGTGTGCTCAGGGGAGGGGAATTCAGATCTTGGCATCCACCATGTTCGTGCGGAAGGGTGCTGTACTAATAAAGAGACTTTAAGGTAAACAATGGCTCGAAGTTCTTTGAAGTATTCCCCTAATCGGAACCATGACATTTAATTTAAAAACTGGTATAGAAATGTGATGATAACTATGCACGACCCAGAAACTGAAAAGCAATATTTTGATATGTCAATTACAAGATCAATCTGAGTGATTAAAAAAAACTAATAAAATAAGGACACTCAATTCTTACCATTTTTTCCTCACCTAAAACATCTGCACTATAAAAAGTTTGTCAGCTCTTATTCTTCTGTTCTTTCTCTCTGTCCGAAGCCCATTTCTACCCTTTTATAGAACTCTTATTCAATCCAACAGAAAGCACCTGTTTACATGTCCTAGCATTACACTAGATATTTTTTAAAAAAACCTCCAGGATGCCCGTTCCTACTGGCATAGTTCTTACCCATATTCATCAGACATCACCTTCCTTACATGCTAAATAATACCGTGAGGCCAAGCGTGACTACAGAACAAGCATGCTGGATTACTATAACTTGCTTGGCCCTGTCTATCTCAATTCACCATGCTGGCTACCTTTTTTCCCTTTTGGACAGCGAACAACTGATTTCTGATTTGCATTTGGTACTAGAAACATCCCTGCTTACATTTATATTTTTATTTTACTTATGTCAAGATTTATACTCTGCTTTTCTGTGCAGGCACGTCCCTCAGTTCCTCATCTATGAAAACCTATGTGACCCTGTTTTTTCCCCAAGCTACCATGTAGTCTGGAGGTGGGGAATTAAGGCTCTTTTATGACTTGTGGACTTCAACTCCCAGAATTCCTGAGCCAGCGTGGCTCAGGAGTTGAAGTCCACAAGTCATAAAACGGCCATGGTTCCCCACCCCTGATGGAGTCCCTGGTTTCCTCATGTTTGTCTGACTCCTGCCTGACTCTTATTCCTTCTCTTCACACAGCTGCCAAAGACGGTCATCCTAACAGCTGTCCATTCACCCTGGCCTACAGCTCACCCTGCCATTACACATCTCGGCCAGTTTTTTCTGTAAAAATCCTTTATTGGGAAGGAGGAGAGTTCAACTCCCAGCGACATGATTTCCTGTTTGCGTAGACACAAAGAAGTGCTGCTCAGGCCCTATAGTTTGATTTTTGCCTACAGCCATCAACCTGAGGGGAGAACTAATCTTGGGTGCCGGATAGTTTTTGCTTCCCCGTGATAGTCGCCTTCTGATCATAGCTGCTCTAATGGCACCGAATTCCACCGTGGAAACTAAAGCTACCCCCCTGGGGGACGAAGGCTTGGAGGGCAAGGGTAAGTTATGTACGAAGGAGTGCCCTAAGCATTGCAAACGGGCCTGCACTTTGGGCCTCACCGGATAGGAGGAAGAAAGGGGAGCACGAGAAACAGGCAGCTCACCAGAGACAGTATGGATTTCCTGCAGATGTAGCCTCAGGCCCGGCTTCCTACCTACCATACTGTTGAGCGTGGCATGATTGACAGTAGACTCTTGGGGGTTAGCAGTCAATTCTTGAGAGCTCGATTTGGCACAGAGCTGAGCTGGCTGTGACACTTTACCTCCTGTTACGACCGTTGTCGTAGCCATACTGTGTGCCATCAGCACTCTTCGGTTACAGGGGTCTACTTTGAGCTTGCTGGGCAGCTTAAATTTCACCGAGGTTGAAGGAGCGAGTTTACTAGGGGTGGGCTTCTCTTTAACTCTGTTCTCCTTCCCAGGAGCTCCTGGCTCTGTGGTCTTGTTGTTTGCTGCTGTCCAGCATGGGGTAGGCGCACGAGGAAGACTCTGGTTATTGCGCCGGTGAATCGATTTAGGAACTCTTTGCTGCTGTGGAGCACTGCAGCCGTTCTTGGTGTCAGTGGCTGGAGGGGGGCTTCTTTGGGGTGGAGGTTGAGGCTTCTTCACCGTGGATCCTTCTACCAAAAGGCTAATGCCAATGTACTGGGGAATCTCCACAGCAGCCTATTGCGAGAAGAAGAAGAGGGTGATGGGGATTGGTCAAAAGGAAGCTATTAACTTCTCCCGAGGGCAAATAAGAGCAGGAAAAAATATCAAACTAACTGTTATGACCCAGGTGGTCAAGGCAAGGCAGGCCTCTATTGCTCTCAATAAATGTTCCAACAAATGGCCTTCCAACGACCGGTAAGGCTCCACCCCACACTACTCTAAAGGCAGCCACCCTCAGTGCCCCAAACAACAGCCCCTATATTACAAAGAAAGTCCACAGAGTAGCAGCACGCTCACAGGGCAAGGTCCAGGGTCTCAAGTTCAGTCCACCTGGCTAAGCGAGTACACGAGGCAAACTGTAGTCCATCAGGCAAAGTCAAGGCCCAAGACAAAAGACAGTCTTTGAGGCAAAGGCAAAAGGCAGGAGTCAAAGCCAGGGCAGGGTAAGCCAAAACAAGCAATTGTTCCTGGCAAAGACTAACTCCCCATGGCTTCTCCTTAAGTCAATTCACTCCAAGTGACCCTTGTGAGGAGGGTTGGGATGACCTCCTCCTGAGTAATCTCACAGCCCTTCTCTGAGCTTGCCTACACTCGGCTCTCTGTGCCCTTGGATCAAGCGGGAGAGGCCGCAGTTCCTCAACGGAGGGGATCTGCTGCCTATCAGTATCACTGCCTGTCAGCAGCTGATCCTTCCCTGTGTCTATGAAGGCAGGCAGTTCTTCCATCCGGTCGACCACCCCCTTCAATGCCTGAGGGGCACTGGATTGTCCTCAGTTCCTGGCTTGTCCAAACATTCCAAGGGAGATGTGCCATTCCTGTCAGACAGTCCTGTTTCCAACTCCTCCTCCTCCTCCAAACCAGGGTCTGATGGGACCATGACACCAACTATTTAGTCTGTTGCAAATGATAGTAAGGAAATATAGCTGATCACCACACCACAAGTAAATAAGGTAGGGTGCAGCACTTCACTAATGTTATGTAGATACAGGTACTCCTTGACTTACAACCACATCCAAGCCCGGAGTTTTGGTTGCTAAGCAACGCAGTCATTGTGCCAGTCATCACATAACCGACTCAATTTTATGACCATTTTCACCACAGTTGTTAAGCAAATCATGCAATTGTTAAGTGAGTTATACAGTCATTAAGTAAATCCAACTTCCCTCATTGGGTTTGCCAGCTGGGAAGGTCACATATTGTAATCAAATAACCCCGAGACACTGCAGCCGTCATAAATGCAAGCCAGCTGTCAAGCACCCAAATTGGAATCACGTGACGATGAGGGTAGTGCAACGGTTGTAATTTCAAGGACGGTTCATACGTCACTTTTTTTCAGCACCGTTAAATTCTGGACAGTTAATTTAAAAAATGGTCATACGTTGAGGACTACCTGTGCTCTGTAAAGGATGAGTAAAGGGAGATTAACAATTGTGCAATAAACACCAGGATAGTTCCAGATAGATAATTCCAGAAGTATTTCCTACAGATTCTTTTCAATTTCAGATTCAGAAATTATTTTTGGGGTATGGTGGAAGGGGGTTGGTCTAAATGGTAAGCAAACAATATTAACTTTGGTATTTTGCATTTCAAAGATTTATATATGAAGAAAAGGTACGGAATAGCAACTCCCTCTCCTCATCCATGTATTTCTAGATGTACTTCAGAGGACCCCTCAACCTTCAAGTCACATTTCACCGGTATACATGAAGAAAAGGAGAATTTAAACCTTCTG